TCAGCCACAGACAGCTGCTCATGGTAGGCTTTCTCAGCAGAGATGACCGGGGCATAGGTGGCCAGAGGGAAGTGGATACGGGGATAGGGCACCAAGTTGGTCTGGAACTCTGTCAAGTCAACATTCAGAGCTCCATCAAAGCGAAGTGAAGCTGTGATGGATGAGACTATCTGACCAATGAGCCTGTTCAAGTTGGTGTATGTTGGTCGCTCAATGTCAAGGTTCCTACGGCAGATGTCGTAGATGGCCTCATTGTCCACCATGAAGGCACAGTCAGAGTGCTCCAAGGTGGTGTGGGTGGTCAGAATGGAGTTGTAAGGCTCCACAACTGCTGTGGAAACTTGAGGGGCTGGATAGATGGCAAACTCAAGCTTGGATTTTTTACCATAATCAACTGAGAGTCTCTCCATGAGGAGGGAGGTAAAACCAGAACCAGTGCCTCCACCAAACGAGTGGAAGATGAGGAAACCTTGCAGGCCAGTGCACTGGTCAGCCTGAAAAGTCACATTTTCACAAATGTTAAAGCAGAGAAATAATTTACCAAAATCAAAGCATGTTGGACATACTACTATGTAACATCAGCCCTTTTTTTTCTTACAAGTTTGCGTGTCCTGTCCAAAACAAGATCGATAATCTCCTTTCCAATGGTGTAGTGTCCACGGGCATAGTTGTTGGCAGCATCCTCTTTTCCTGTAATCAGCTGCTCGGGGTGGAACAGCTGGCGATAAATTCCTGAACGCACCTCATCTGGACAACAAAACAAAAATGTAGATTTTTGAGAGCAGTCTCCAAAACAACCCTATACATCTTCATATCTACATAGAAAATGGACTCTTCCAACAACTCAAAAAAGTAAATTTGATCCATGTATTCTATTTAAACTATATTACAAAAGTAGAGAATTGCTTTAAAAACCAAAACAATTTGACCAACTACCATGAAATTACTTGATAAAACTTTAAAATATCATCTAAAAGTTATTTGGCACCAACCAATGACAGTAGGTTCCAGGTCAACAAAGATGGCTCTGGGAACGTGTTTTCCTGTCCCCGTCTCACTGAAGAAAGTGTTGAAAGAGTCATCTCCTACTCCAATCGTCCTGTCTGAGGGCATCTGTCCATCTGGCTGGATTCCATGTTCTAGACAGTACAGCTCCCAACAGGCATTACCAATCTGAGTCCCAGCTTGGCCCACATGAATAGAGATGCATTCACGCTGTTGAGAGTAAACCACACATTTCAAATACCCCAAATGTCTGTTTGCTCTTCAAATTTCAGTTGGATTTTCAGAGACACAACAATATTTAAATACACTGAATGTGATAGTCCATCAACAATTCTATTCAAATATGAACAAATATGGTTAAAGTTGCTTATAAATACAAAGGTATACAGTCTAGGTGAGAATTCAGGTCCTTACCATAGTTATTTTTTCTTCTCCGATGTTCAGGTATCAGAAAGAAGACGAAGAGTTTAAACATCAGCACTGCTCTGCCCTTATATACATCAGTTGGAGTGCACCGTGATTTGATCTGAGCTGTAATTAGAGATCTTCCAGATGAGAACGAGGAAATGATCATCCGCTTTACAAACATTCACACAATACCAAAGGAGGTCACCACCCTACTCATTGTGTATCTTGTTTTTGAGTGTTTTGTTCCAGTGTGTATTCACCTCATATTTAAAAAAAATAAAAAATTGAAGTAAAACCACAAATGAGGGTTGGGTCAACTAAAAAGTAGTTTCACTTGGATGGACTAGATAACAAAGAGACAAAACATTTTATTTTCTTTATAAATGATCAAAGACTACCTGGAAAAAAAAGTCCTTGCTGCACATCTAACAATGTATGTACTCATTTAATTTTGACAAATGAAAAGTGAATTTTTTGTAAGTGTTGAGCGAACTGGGAAATTGTGTCAGTTTTTAAAAGCTGAGAATTTAATGGTTAAATGGCTGAACTTAAACACATTTGCTCAATTTGCAAACTGCTTCCTTTTCTGTCGCAAAGAATGCAAGCGCTGTGCTACGTGTGAGCGCTGATTTGAAGCAGATTTGTGTAGATACTAAAAATGTAGGCTCCCAATTTGTCTCTGTAATGGTTAAGGTAATATTATATACATGTATGTATGAAACCTGCTTCAACTTCCTTATTGGTTTCTCAGTCCATAGTGAGAAAGAAACATAATCCATATGAATTGTCTCATGAGACATCAGCTGAGTGCAAAACAAGTCCGATACAGAACTTAGTGGTAGATTCAGACTTCTGGCTCCAGAGATCCCTTTGGAAGTAAAGTTTTCTACTTTAAACTGACTCACATTCATGTGCAAGTCTGTTTCAGTCAGCTGATAAAACTTTTAACTGTTTATAAAATGGCTCGACCTGATGTCAGAATGCTCAGCAGGTGGACATTTAAAACAAGCCAAACAACTTTCAAGGCCTGGGGGCACCCGCCCTGATAGTAAAACCCAAACCGTGTGGGAATGTTGACTTGGTATAATCTTTTGTTTGCAACTAAAGAGACAAAAAAAAAAAACCATGTCTTTCACCTGTTCATCATATGAGGAAGTTAAACCGGTATTGGATATTTTACAAAAGTAAAAATAATTGTGACTCAGCATATAGATAAAGCTCTAAAGGGCCGTTGGTCACGAAAGTAACACCAGCAGCCAGAAGTCACGAGTGATGACATCGTTTTCACCACTCCAGTCTTTCTTTAAGGCACGTTTTTTTCTCTGTAGAGTGTGAGATAGAAAAGGGGATGGTGGAGGAACTGCACGTATTCCCAAAGCGCTACTTTGTAAACAGTGCTTTCTATTGTGCACTATACATATCATCTTTTTTGGCCTGTAAGTCACTGTTTTTTGCATAATTGTCATGCCCTGCGACTTATACACCAAAGCAACTTATTATTTTTTTTTTCCATATTTATAAACCAATTTTTGGCTGAGATATGACGTTTTTCATTCATTCTGACATTGAAAATATTTAACATTACCATTTTCAGCCACTAGATGGCACTCGAGTAGTATGGCATGCCATTGTGTCATGTAATAGGTAAAAGTGACTATTAATGACACAATCCGCTTGCCAAAGACTGCCACCTTCGTCCAGCTCCGGGATCATGCCTGGAGCAACCGTCAAATCAGCTTCATTTCACTGTGCCGCCCCGGCGAAATGCAGCTAATTTGACCACTAAAGTGCATTTATTAAGTAAAAGTTCAACTGAGACACACCTTTGATATAATGTCAAGCAAACAAACAATTGTTTTAGGTGCTTATCTTGTTAAATTTCGAAGAAATGAGCAGCGTTCCTCCTTCCTGATTTCCTCCTGTACCTCCCGGAGAACCGAGGCAGAAAATACTTTTGAAATACAGCTGATTTGAGCGTTAAAGTCCTTTTATTAAGGAAAAGGTCAACTGAGACACACCTTTGTTATGATTTCGAGCAAACAAATAATTGTTTTTAAGTGTTAATCTTCTTAAATTATTGTTAAAAGTCCTCCCGTGCACGCTCCTGCGGATGCCATTTGGCAGCCAATCATTTTTTGGCACAACACCGGCCCACATCTGCGGGTTGTCAGTGGTGACACGTAACAAACGTGACATGTCAGCAGCGATGCATAATAGATGCGACTTATATGGCCGTATGCACTTTTTTTTGCAGAATGAGAATTATCCTAAAATAAAAAAAAATAAAAAAAACTTTATTCGTAATTACGTTTTAGAGCAAACTAGTCAAACAAAATTTTGTTCATATCATATCCCATAAA